ATACAATTTTTTTTTACAGAAAAAGCAAAAGAAAAATAACAAAATAACAATCACGTATAAAAATAGATCAAAGTTTTGTTACACTATCACATATTAAATTAATTTAAAAATTATGTGTTGATTTTATTTACGTGTCTTAATTTAAGAGTCTTAATTTAAGAGGTATAATTATTTTTTTTGGATTATATTTAACATCACACATATTTCCAAAAATATATTTCTGCTATACAAACTAATTATTGAGTTTGATAATTTTTATCTCTGCTACGCAAATACATATCTGACTATATTTAAATTTTGTTATCTGCTACGCAAAATTTTTGGTGACTTAATCAAAAATTTTCTATGTTCAATAAGCAATCTCAAATCTAACATATACATATATTATTCGGGATCCTATTATAAGTTGATGGAAGTTTAACTGATAGGTTTGAGCCATAATAATCTTTAATTTGAATATATTGTAATTTTTTTTCCAATTCACTTTCAACAACTTTTATTAATTTCTTTAGCAAAGTTCTAAATGTTTTTTTAATATACTATTAATAGATTTAACACGTTATATTGATTTCACTTCAGCAGTAAATATTTTTACAATTGAATATCTCGTCCAAGAATTATGATTAGGATAAAGTTTACTTACAAGATATTGTCAATAGGATTTATATTTTATAAGTATTTCATTATATTTTATATTAAATTGTGATTCAGTATGACTATTTTACATATAATAGAAATCTTCAATAAAATTCTTAACCATATTACCATGTAATTTAGAATAAGCTTTCTTTTTTATATTTTCTATAATGTGATAAATACATAATAAATGCTATGTTCGTAGATATATAACTTAAATAGCAGCATAACTAATTGAGTAATAATAGTACTATTAACAGTATCATCTAAAAATTCTGTTTTGACTAATTTAGTTTGGTTACCAAAACTAAACATTATATTGACAGCCACCTGACTATAAATATCTGTTGTTTTATTAATAGTAATAGATATATGCCTATTATATATTATTTCTTACATGCTAGAAACCTCTATATTAAAGACAATTGGCAAATATTTTTCTCGTAATAAAGAAGAATCTGTAATAGCTCTACCTATAATATAATTAGTGAATTAATAACATGTTAAATGATAAATTAAATATAAAATAGATTTTATATACCATTTTTACAAAATTTCAAAAAAAAAAATTCTTAAGTTTATTTGCTTTTTCAAGTGGTATGTTTGCATGTGTAAATGTTTTTACTAAAGCAATATTAAAGACTTCATGTTTATTTAACTTATTATTATTGGCATTGAGAGTGATTTAACGAGCTCTTATTTTATTTTTAGCTTTGCGTATATTTTTTTTATGTTTGCCTGATTTTAAATGTGTATTTAATGTGGATTTTTTTTATGGTCTAAGACATTTTGGCAAAATTCACAAAACAATTTTTGCCTATCAACATAAAAATTCTTTTTATATTTTGAGTTTTCAAGTCTATACTCAGTTGCTAAAACTATTGTAAAAAAGAGATAGTGAAAAAATGACAAATATTTCATATCACTATCTTAATCTATAGATCTTAATTGTGGATATACTATATGATATGGGGCCTTTGCAATAGAAAGGGAGGAAACTCAAAAAAAAATAAAAAATGAGTTAATAATAAATCTGAACAAATTATAGTATTTGAAACATTTTTGGCTTATAAATTAAAATTTTAATTTTTTTGGAGTTTCCTCCCTTTCTATTGCAAAGGCCCCATATAACTAAAAAAGTATATTACTTGAAAAAGATAAGCTTTATCTTATTACATAATATTTAAAATTTCATAAAAAGATATAAAAGAATTGTAAGTTTTCTAAATTTATCCAAAAAGCAGTATTATTAATAAAAGTAGAAATATCAAATAGTAAATGAAATTTATTTTTATTAACATAAAAATTAACTATTATTAAAGTCTAGAAATATATTTTTTTTTAAATAAATAAATTATTTTAGAAATAAAAATATAAATAAAATAAATATTAAACCTACTGTAAGTATATCTTTTATTTTTAAAAGAAAATTAAAAGCATAAAATAACTACTCTAATATATTGAACATAAACTTATAAGAGTAATAATTTTTATAAAGCTTTAGTTATTTATCTTGTAGTTTTGAATAAAATTAAACTGATAAATAAAAAAAAATCAATAATTTAGGCAATACAATTAAATGTAATTTTATGTATTTAAGATTCTTTAAAAATTTCATTTATATAATAATTAGCTTAATATACAAAATATGACAAAAATATTATTTCACAATAAATAAGTTTTATTTGATATCTATTAATAAATAAAATTTAAATAAAATTTATAAATAAAGTAAATTTGTTTTAAATAAAATATAAAATACAATCAGACCTGTATATAGTTACATGATTAGTTCCATAAAAATAAGTGACTATATAAAGGTGTAATTGTAAAATGTTTACCTCTATATAGTTACAAATATATTAAAAAAAATATGTGGTGATTATTTAAAGGTTAAATTAGTTTCACAAATAAAATACTGTAAATTACTGTAAAATTCCATTAAAAAATCAGGAACACAACTTTAATTTTATTTTTTATATGATTTATTCTAATTGTAATTAATTTTATTATTATATTTATTAAAACTTATAAATCAATTATTGAATTCATGACTGCTAAAAAAATTAGTAATTAGAAATTGTTTTCAAGATTGAAGTTCAAGCTGCTTTACTATCTTTAAGTATTTTTTAAAAATTTGACCATCTTCAATGCTAAATTCGTCTAATTATTGCTGATCAAAAAATGCAATCCAAGTTTGTAAGGATTTTAAAGATTTATCTAAAGATACTAGTAATGGTTCTTCTTCAAAATCGTCATTAGTGTTATCTTCATTATGCATTTCCTCTTGAACCAATTGTATAATATTATCATTATCTAGAGTATTTTTAGTTGGAATATCTTTTAATCATAAAAGAAATTAGTTAATGCATTTTTTAATAAAACATTATAAGAATCATCACTAAATTTTTCAATTTTTTTAATGATTTGATCAATATTTGCTGCTTTACGATCTGTAGAATTTTGTTGAATTTGTGTCATATTATCAATATTCTTATCAGTTAAGGAAGGTAAGATTCTAGTCTTTTTCTAATAGTTATTTATAGTTTCTTCGATTATTTGTCCCCATGCATCTACTAAATAATTAATTGCCTCTTTAATGTAGATTTTTTCTTTATTAATATCTTTGCCATCTTCAAAGAGGTTTAACATATGATGGCAAAAATTCCTCTTATAATGACTTTTAAAACTTGCAATTATTCCAGCATCGAGTGGCTGAAAGTAACTTGTAGTATTAGGGGTAAAAAAGCTACTTCGATATGAGTTAATTGAAGTCAAAAAATACTAGGTCTGCGACTTTCAGATTCACGATTGCTTAGTTTACCATTATGATCTTTATCATGATAACCTCTACCATGACTTCCATTACGACCTTTACCACGACCTCTATCACGGCCTCTAGATCCATGATTACCACGGCCTCTTGAAACTCAATTTCCTATATAAAAAAATTTAGGTAAGTTATTTTCATTTAAATATTTGCTAATTATTATGTCTATTATGTAATAATAAATAAATTTTATTTATAATAATAAAAAAATATGTAACAAAAAAAATATGTAACAAAAAAATTATGTAACAAAAAAATGTATATATGACAATTAATAAATTATAATTTTTCAATTAAATCTCCGATAATGAATTCTAATAATAAGTTATATTAAATTTATATAATGAATGAAAAGATAAAAAGAATTTAAGTTTCAAAACTTACCAGATATCAATTCAGTCTCTTCATCATTATCTACATCTTGCTTAGTCAGTAAATAATATAGATCAAAATGTGATGGTATATTATTAACCAAAAGTAAGATTTTTTTATTTTTTGCTTTAAAATAGCTATTTAATTCACGAAGAACTTTTTCAAAAATTGTTGAGTTGATCCATGCCTTTGAATTCCCACGATAATAAATTAAAAGCTGTTCTCGAAAGAGGTCTTAGATGTTTCGCATTACCAATTACTATAGTTTAAGTTTATCAGTTCTTATTGTGTTTACATTAAGAAGAACTATAATTCATGTTTTGTCCTTCTTCTCATCATGAACTGGTTTAGTCAAAAGTGTTTGATTTGAAGACATCCTATAATAAAGACCTGTCTTATTAATATTATAAATTCTATCAAGAGTATACCAGCTCAAAAGCTGATAAAGCTTAATTCTTTCTTCCAGTAGAGATGCTATTGATGCACTTCCAGATTTTTCATGTATCTGATACTAGTGGATATTATTACATTTTTAAAGCTATCTAACCAACCGTTAGAAAATACTAACTCATCTTCTTGTATAAAAAATGTATTAGTAAAAAATCTTGCCTTTTTTTTTTATTAATACATCTATTAAGATTACATCGCCTGCTGTTACATTTTCTATCCACAAATTCATAGCCCTGTCAAGTTCTGAAAATTTGACTCCTTTTTGTCTGTAAATTTCTTTAGAACCTTCAATTTCTAATATAGTACTCCATTTTTTACTTTGTATTAATATCTTTAACACAGTATTACGATCAATATTTAGGATTGGATTTTATTCATTGAAATAGGCGAAAATTTCCTCTTATTTCTTATTTTTATTTTTATTTGACCATTCACAAATTTGGTATTTAAGGCTAACACTTATTGCTGAATGGCTTTTTTTGGGACGGTTGATGGGTATTATAGGGAGGAAATACTACTTGGTGAGAAGGAAGATGTGAATATTTAAAAGGAGTTCACTGGAAAATAAAAAAAGAATTTCTCACAAAAGTATGATATTTTAAACATCACTCTCTTTTATTCAATATATTAATATGATGCAAGAAAAAAAACTCTCTATAGAATGAAAAATTATAACATTTGTATATTACATTTTAAAGTGTTACATTTTAAGTGTGTTACATTTAAAATCTATATAAAATTATTGATTATCAATCTTATCAAACTTTTTTAAACTATGATATACAACCAATCAGATCTTTTTGATATAAACCAATCAAAAACCTTGTGATTATAAAGAGGTAGATTTTCTAATAGAAATGATATGTACGTTAAGAATTTCGTGTGATAGTAAATATAATTGATTTGTGACTATAAAGAGGTAATTTAATATACTTTAAGTCTGTTCTACAAAAATGTGTTCTTATATAAAGGTGTGACTATATATAGTGTGATTATATATAAGTCTGACTGTATATTAAAAATAATAATATATTATAATTAAATTTAGGTTCTTGCAATTATAATAGATAATGCAGCTAATAATAATATCTTTCTTGAAGAATTTGAAAAGTTTTGTGTTAAAAATCATATTGAATTTAATTACAAACAAAATCATGTATGATGTATTACACATATAATGAATTTTTCTGTTTAAGAAATATTAAAATATCTTAAATTTGAAGAATCATATGAAGAAAATTTAATTTTAGAGAGTATTTTAAAAAATAAACTTACAAATAATAAATTAATACCTAAGGTAAGAATAAAATATTATTTAATTAAATATATTAAATGTGAAAACTTGTAAAAATTAATTAATTTATTAATTTTATTATTTAACTAAGAAGTCTTATTATGAAGATTCACTCCTCTTTACAATATAAAGAAAAATTTTTTTGCTAATGTAATCTTTATTTTGATAAAAAATTAAGTCATATTTTAGATGTAAAGACTCAATAAAACTCTACCTATTTAATATTACAATATACTCTTAAACTTCAAGAGATAAATATTTTATATTTTAAATAGATAAAGTATTATTAAATATTTACTTATTAATTAATAATATTAACATACTATATTTTATAGCCTCTTAATGATATGTTAGGTATTGATTATGATTTAAAGGAATTTTCTATTGAAATAGAAGAATGACAAATTATTAAAGAACTATATTGTGGACTTAAGGTAATAAGCTTTTTATTAAATTTTATATTATTTATTTATTTTAAAATTAAGTATTTATTATATAGATTTTTTATGAAGTCAATCAAAATTAAAGTTTATTATGCTTTCATCATTAATTCTTATATATAACACTTTATTAGATTATTTAGAAAACCTTCTTAATAAAGAAAATAAACAATTTTATCCTATTTTAGAAATGCATAATGCTATAGAAAAAGGATATAAAAAATTCTAAAGTTATTATATCAGAACTGATAATTCATTTGTTTATTCAATAGCAATAAATAAGTATTTACAGTCACACCTCGATATAACGAAGTTGCTGATCCAGCCGATCAGGACTTCGTTATAAGAATCTTCGTTAACGCT